GGAAAAGGGAAAAGGTAGGTGAAATATGAGTAAAATATCCTTACATTTCATCTAGTTTCACACACCTTTTCCCTTTCACTTTCCAAATCCCCAAACCAAACATAGTCTTAGGCTATCCTTCTTTGGTTATGGCCCTTGGAGGAGAATAGTTTTGCATTGCGGCTTCATCTGTTAATTGTGTAATCCATTGATGACAGTGGTGTGTATGTGGGATTTCTAGTGGGTTGTTGGGTCTTGGTTCAGGTAGTTTCTAAAGGCATTTGCTTCTCTCTTATCCTAATAAAGTGGAGGGTAGTTGCCTTTTTTCAACTTCATCTCATCTCTTCTTGTTTCCTCTGGAGGCTTCTTCCCCTGGGTTCCATCACACCAATATTCAATTGTTGTTCATTTTTAATTTTGGGTGGTTGGAATCTTGAACAGTGTCTTCATCTTTTGATGTATTCTGATTGCATAGAATAGCAGCGGGGAATTCTGTGCACATGAATATAAATGAAAAAAAATCTCCATATTATTAGTGAGAAATTTTTTGAAGGAAGTTCACCACGAAAAGAATTATTGATCTACAGAGGAAAATGGGATGAAGTTAGGGTGTGGGACTATATTTGCTCCTATTTAAGGATTAGTGATGATAGTATACTGGATGATTTAATGCTACAAAAGAGCTGGTTTCACAAATTGTGAAACCTACTTAGGTAAGAGGACATTATGTGCCATTTTGGACTAAAATTTCAAATAAGAAGTTATAATCTTCCTCAAATTGTCTTAATCTGGTTTGCAAAAGACTGCTCCTATGTATGCAATGCTATACCATTTTTTTAGCGATGTGCTAACTACTTAAGAATTAAGATACATATAGGTATTATCTGAAAATTGAATCATTCTTTATTTTATTTTGGTTACTATATTTGAGTGCCATGATGCTTGATGGCAATGTCTAGCTCAAGTGATGACATGAATGTTTTCAGCATGTCATGTTTTGTCATGTGTCATATGCAATTGATTATATACTTCCATCTCGCCAATTAAGTGGGAAAGACTAGGAATAGCTACAATTGTTCTTAATTGGCCAGAAAGTCTGAACTGAACCCGTGTTTGGTTTCATCCTCCTATGCAGTGTTAGCATTGAAGCTCTGCATGTTTTCTGGAATTTATTTTATATGGTACTAACCATTCCTTTAAGAACATAGACATATACCCTGAAGATCCTTTGAATTGATCCATGATTATTGATGGATACGGGATTGCCCGAGTCATTTGAGTCTCTTATATATTTGACACCATCAGATTATTGGACTTTGTAATGCAACCTGAGATTTTCTTATAAATTAATTTTGGGGGGGCTTTTGACCATTGCTAACTGCTGCTTATATTCGTCTTTTTGACAGTGAATAATCTGATTTGGATTTATAGCATCTCGTAATGGTTCTTCTCATTGCTTTCTATGTATCGTTATGGGAGCTTTGTAGAATGATGTGTTTCATTATCCCACTCCATGGTTTACACGTTGTTTATGGTGACATCCATCTGTGATATATGGCTTTTGCAGGTGTGTGATGAGCTCGAGGACATGATGGAAGAAGGGGGAAACATCGTGGACTACCATGGTTGTGACTTCTTTCCCGAGCGTTGGTTTGATCGTGTGGTGGTGCTTCAAACTGAGAACTCTGTGTTGTACGATCGCTTGACTAAGAGGTATTGGTTGTTTCTTCTGTGTAATCGATCCAATGTGGTCATTATCCTTTTTTTTCCATTAAAAAATGTAAAACCCCAATCTTATTGTCTGCTGTGTGTGGCAGAGGTTACACTGGTTCAAAGCTTACAAACAACATAGAATGTGAAATATTTCAAGTGTTGCTGGAGGAGGCAAAAGATAGTTATCCAGAAGATATTGTGGTGCCATTAAAGAGCGACAATGTTGATGACATAAACAGGAATATAGCGACTCTGACGGATTGGGTTGGGAGCTGGTGCCCTAAACCCTAATGATATCAACATCCCACGTCTCTTAAAAGGCATATAATCCTTTCTGTAAAAGGGTCGTGGGGGACTTGATGCATCATTTGACCTATTTTCTTTTCTTTTTTGTTTTTGGGTGTGTTTTTTGAGATTAGGAGAGATATTAGAAATGTGCCGACTGTTTTTTCACTTAAACATTCTTGGGATCTGGCATGATGAATATGTTATTAATTATACTTCTTGTTACTGCTTTGCATTGTGATCTGGATCAGAAATTCTGTTCTGGTGGCCAAACTGAATCTCTATTGGCTATTGCAGTGGTCTGTCATTGTTATGGGAGCAATACTTGCTGTAAATTAAAATCAATAAATTATATCCAAATTCATGGATTTTTTTTTTTTTTTGATGTCTTTAAATAGTTTAGACGATTGCATTTTCCAAAATGTGATGATCACGATTGTTCGCCATGGATTTTGTTATGCTGTGTTTGGTTGGGGGATTTAGGGAATTTGGAGATGGATTTGGAAATGGAAAGGGAAAAGGTGTGTGAAACTAGGTGAAATATAGGCATGTTTTATTCACATTTCACCTACCTTTTCCATTTCCCTTTCCAAATCCTTCTCTAAATCCCCCAACCAAACACAGCATTAGAGAATCCTGTATTTGGGATGACTCGGAAAAAGAGATCAATGCTACTCTCTCTAAATAAAAATTATTTCATTCTCTAATTTGTTTTGGATTTTAAATGAATTTTATTATCTAATTGTAAATTAGAAATTTTACTTGCTATATCCTTTGAGTAAACTTAATATAAATATATATATATATATATATATATTAATCTTTTAAGCTAAATGTAAAATTTGTAATTCATTTAATTTTTTTGATCTAAAATGTTATGATCCATGTAATGACATACATATGTACTAGTTAATACTTAAAATAAAATATTAAGGATAACATCATTAAAAAACAATTTTAGTGCAAATTAAATGAAAACAACTTATTCGCATAATTTCAACTATTTTTTCTTTAAAATTTTAAAATTGTTACTTTAATTTTAAGATAAAATGTTAATTATTTGTTTAAGGCAATGTATAACACAGGGTTTTATGCTAGTATTTCCAAATAAGAAAATGACTCCATAAATTTCATAAACAAACACCTAACTAAATTGGACTCTAAAAGCATCAAAACTACCATATAGAAATGTTTCCAAATGGAAAGAATTCAAAACCAACAGATAATAGGTGCAGATCATGTAGCACCAATTGTAAAAAATAATAAATAAAAATAAATTACAGACTAGGACAATGGAATAAATTATCAAGACAAATTATATTCTTTCCACAGCCCAACTGAAATCATTTCCAAGGCTTGAGTCAATATTACATGATAGTAAATATTTACAACACAACTTTGCTGTGTAATATTACACAACCGATAGTCTTTCGGGTGTTTATGACCTAAAAAGAAGTATCTCGGGCTGTGAAGCCAAGGATCTGGACTTTGTCTTCTCAAGTGTTGCAATGATCTTCATTAACAATTAGGATAGCTAAGCAAAGGAAAAGAAAGTAGCTATGTTTGTTCTACCAAATACAATAATCCATTAGAAGATAAAAGTGACTGTGAAGTGTGTTTGTGTGCATTATAGCTGAAGCAAAGACATTTGTGGGCTGTGTTATGCTACCTGTCCTCAGCTATGTAATGTGGGGCAAAGGATGGAGTGAAGGGAAAGCAAATAAAAAATTTCACATGGGGCACCTTTGGTACTAGTTTCCTAATCTATATAAACAAAAGGGAGAAAACTCCACAAAAGCAATTCACACAAAAGGATGTACAATGTATTAAGGTTGCTACTATTTCCAAAGCAACTTTGATTTTTATGAAATCAGCCGAGACCATAGGGATATCCTAATAGAAAATTAGAAAAGTTCTCAAGCTTTGACCGATGGAGGACTTTCAGCATAAAAGTTTTTTTAAAATTTATTTTCGACACACTAACACCACCAAACTTAAGTGTACAATCGCAATTGCTTCTAAAGACATTCATCTATAATGCAATGGAATTCGAGAAGAATCCTTATGCGTTTATACCTTAGGTCCTTCACAGAAGCATTGTCAGTCGAGCACCCAACTTTTAGCTCCAATTTTCACAAAATTCCTTTTGAACATAATTTCAAAAGCTTTGACGTTTTCAGAATTCCCCCGTCAGCATGTAATACCTGGCTGGTATCTACGCGAATGTTATTCTAGTAGTCCCTGTTTTTATTTATCCACTTCCATAAATGTGCGGACCACCCCACTGCCGTAGCACGCATCAAGATATTGTCTACTTTGTACTGCGGGGGACACATGGTTTTGTTTTTCCTTCACTAGAAAAGGCCTCTTAAAGGTTTGCAGGTATGACACACTTATAAGGTGAGCCAAGAGTTCTTAACAGACCGATGTGGAACGGATTTGGATCCCCCACATTAGCCCCCCAAGCATGTGGGTTTACGAGGTGGAGCTAAGGTTCCCATAGATGGCGCCAAATGTGGGACTGGTTTTTGCAATAGAGAGTGATGGAGCTTCATAGACGAACCTTGATGCACCGATGGGTGTAGGCCTGCACAAGGAACAAATGGTTAGGCTACCCAACCGGGGGTAGGTCGGAAACGCCTCTGACGCTTGAGTTAGTACCAAAGTTTGGTGGAGAGAAGGTAGAGAAAAATGTATAGAGTGAAGAGAGATCAATCCCTTGCAAAGGAAAGTGAGGTTACCTTTTATAGGGAATGCTTGACTTGCTCACCAAGTTCCTCTCTCCGCCACATGGCACTCAGTCGTTATGTTAGGTCGCTCCTCATTAGAGGAGAACAGAGACTCTTTTAGGCAATTCCGATATTCGTGGGCACCACGCGCCTTTCATTCGCATAGCGTTGGTTGTTCTATTATAGCTTAACTCTGCCTAACTCCCTTCAGAGTGAGTAAGAGTCTTGGAGTCTAAGTCACGGACTTATCCACATCGGAGTGGGGATATGTGCTAGGGCTAGGCCCATGGCCCTGCCCACTTCAGAGCAGGAAAGAAGCCAAGGCCAAACCCTTAGCAAAACCCATATTAGAGTGAGGAAAGGAGCTTAGGCCTAGCCAATGGCCTTCCCTACTTCGGAGTGGGAAATGGGCCAAGGCTGAACACTTAGCTCAACCCCCTTAGAGTGGGGGAAGGGGCCCATTTTAGAGTGGGGACCTTCCTCTAGCCAAGCTAGGTCTTTTACATAAATGGGTTTGACTAATTGTGCCCCTTTCATTTGCCCCTGGCTTGCCCTTAAATTTGTTAAGTGGAAGCCATAGATTAATGTAGCTTGGCCCAATTGTATTTATGGAGCTCAACCTTTTTTACTCGTGTAAGACAACTTATTTGCGCCCACTAGTTTTGTTCTCTTGCTTAGTTGTGCATGGTTGATTCAGGAGATTGGCTTGTAATTATGATGTTTGTTGATTTAAATGCTTGGTCTTGCATGGACAAGCCAGGTCGGCCCCAATATCCATTGAACAATTTATTTCTTCATTTCCTCGGCCCATTGCACAACTTTCAACTTATCTAAACAAACATCTTGAGTGCTTGCTTGGGCCCACCACTTTGGACATTCTTGCTTTGTTCTACTTCATTGAAATGGATTTGTAGTATATTGTTTGTTGCTCTGTCTTTTTTGGTCGGTCGTGGGTTTGCCGTTGCTCTGTCTTGTATATATATATATATTGACTTTGCCCATTTGGTGCTTTGGTTGGTGCACTTTGTTGTTATGGACTATTGGACCTCAATTGTGGTCAATAGACCGAGCTCAATTAGCATGCTCGATACTGACATTAGGTACCACATTTTGCCATTTTCAGACACATGGTGCTCACTGATTGCCTCTTCTGAGTGTAACAGTTTATCTGTGTCCTTGTGGATGTGCTGGATAACAATATATTTTTAAATTACAGAGAGAACCCAGTTTTCTTCTTCAATCTCCTTTTCCGACGGTGAGTTTCCACTGGTGTGTCCCTCTTCGTCGATCCAACCTACGCAATCGTCGCCACCACTCCGACGATGAATCTGTCACCATGCCTCTGCTAAAGTTTTGTTGTCGGTGATTTTATGTTACCGATTACAACAATTGTCCTATTTTTTCTAATGTCCACCATTGATTCCAGCAGTTCATTCTCTCTTTGGTCAGCCTTCTTTTTTAGCAGTGCACTTTGTATTTTTGGCCTGACGTTCATAGGTCTCAGATTTGCTATCTTCAGTCGTTTTGTTTTCAGCTTCTCACTCTAGAAACTCCATTTTTACCGGAGCAAGCTTGAAGACCTATTTGCTTCAACGTCTCTGTCAGCCGCTTGGTTCCCCGTTGTCGTCAGCTTTTCATCGTGGCAAGCTTGGTTCATCGTCGCCATCGTGTGAGCTCTCCTTGATTTTGAACTCCTCCAACTAGCATCTTGGCATCACCCTGTTTAAGCATCATCATCACTCCCTACCTCTTATTTCCGGCGACTAAGGTCATTCCCATCCCCGATTTTCGCCGTTCGTTTGTTCATAGTACTATTTTGATATAGTAAGTCTACCAATTTTGTTTTACCCTTTACTTAATTCCTTGTTACTCTTTGTTGTGTTTAGTAGCCATGTCACCGTGAACTTTTGATTTATGCTTGAATAAAGTTGCTTTTAATGTCTATAAATCCACAACCCCATGTTTATCCCTTTTGACTTCTATTGTTTGCCATGGTCTTACAATTATGAGTTTCTTGTTGGTGGCCCCGTGGTGACTTCCTTAGATTTTAGTGAGCACCCATTGTTTTCCTTTTTGCTAGGTCTTAGAATTTTGACTTCAGTTGTCGCTGATTTCTAATTTTCTCATTGCTTCTCTTGGAACTCATTGTAGGTTTGATTTTGACGCTATCGCGGCTTGTCTTCTACGGCCCCTCTTTTGTCAGGGGAGGGGTGTTTTAGGTGTTGATTTGCACTATCAAATTTGGCACTATAAGTCCATCGGATTTGCTTCGTCTTTCAACTTATATTATTGCCTTTTCAGTTGTTTGTGGACTATTTGAACAATAATTGTGATGTTACTTGTCATAGCTTATATTGCCCCTTCCCCTCCATTTTGTCAGTTTTCAGCCCTAGACTTAGGAAATGAGTAAGTTTAGGAGGCTAGTAGACACACCATCCAAACTAGTCCTCTTTTGGGAGAAGTTCCATATTTCAGAGGACGTTACTCTGGTGCTAAGGGAGTTAAACACACTTCGTTCGCCAATCGCCGACACTGTGCCTTTCCCCGTAGAAGCCATCGTAAAAGAGGAGTTTAGTTCCCCTTAGACCCTTTGTGGCTCCAGTTCTTTCATTACTTCAAATCCACCCTATGGAGATATTCATGAATACTTTTAGGATTGTAGGCGACTCCGTAGCCCTTAATCGATTGCTTGCCCTTACAGCTTCTCCCACCACCCAGATGACCTACTACCTTAGAACTCGGTCCAATGTACCCCAAATGATCTTAGACTTCCCTGATGCAAATAAGCATCTAAAAAACTTCTTTACAGTAGGAGGGAACTTCAAGTATCTGGCCGACGTAGAGGGCCGACCAACATGGGCGTCTTGTAAAGAGGATGGTCTAGGTTAGCTTTTGTCCTTAAGGTTTTACTTCCACACTTTTTATGTTGATTCTGACTTTTGTTGTGTGGCTTTGATAGGTGATTCTTAGACAAAGAGGCAAACAAACAAAGAGCGTATGAACGACCTTGAGACTGCCTTCACATACCCCAATTGAACTGCGACAAAGTTGCTTGGTTACGTAGCGACTTATAAGCAGACACTTAACGAGAAGAGGGTTCGCATGATTGACTACTTTAGGAAGTCCCTAGAGAGGTTAGTCGAGCAACAAGCTTGCAACAACACTGGTGCTTCTAATTTTGCCGTTGTTCGGTTAATAGGCAGAACTACTGAGTGAGGGCCCTTTTCCTGACGATCAAGAGGCTATGAATCATTGAAATCTTGACCTTGCAGCTCTTGTTTATGATGGACCCCATTCCTGAAGTGGTTCCTATGCCTGTTTGGTCGGTTGGACAAAGACACTCAGTTTCGGAGCAATCTGTGCATATTGCCAGGGAGATTCCCCCTCCTATTCCACCTACCACCACTTAAATTCAAGCATTGAGGGCATCCAAGAGGAACAACGGTAAGGGAAAGGATGTTGTTGAGGGCTCTGAGGAGTAGATATCGGTTGAGGAGTGGTTGCCACCTTTGGAGCATAAGGGTTGGCCTATCACTGTAGCAGACCGTGTGACAACTTCTCGTGAGTTGGCTTTCAATCTATCCAAGGCGTTACTTCTACCCCTGGACATAGTTAAATGTAATATGGACTCTGAATCCTTGATCAAGGGATCTCTTCAAATGGTGACTGTAGTAAGTGTTCACTTCCTGATTTGATTGCTTTCTTTTCCTTTCCTTTCCTTTCTCAGTAAATTTCTCTAAGTGTTTTATCTTGGTCCTTGACAGTTGGTAGGCCCAAGCAAGCACTCAAGATTAGGGTAAATTTCTCTAAGTGTTTTATCTTGGTCCTTTCCTTTCCTATTTCAATAAAGTACATCAAAGCAAGAATGTCAAAAGTGGTAGGCCCAAGCAAGCACTCAAGATGTTTGTTTAGATAAGTTGAAAATCATGTGCAATGGACCAAGGAAATGAAGAAATAAAATGTTCAATGGTTATTAGGGCCCACCTAGCTTGTCCATACAAGACCAAGCATTTAAATCAACAAACATCACAATTACAAGCCAATCTCCTGAATCAACTATGCACAACCGAGCAAAAGAACAAAAATGGTAGGCCCAAATAAGTTGTCTTGCGCGAGTAAAAAGGGTCGAGCTCCATAGAAACAATTGGGCTAAGCTACATCAGTCTATGGCTTCCACTCAACAAATTTAAGTGCAAGCCAGGGGGCAAATGAAGGGAGCATAATTAGTCAAACCCGTTTGTGTAAGACCTAGCTTGGCTAAAGGAAGGTCCCCACTCCGAAGTGGGTCCCTTCCCCCACTCTAAGAAGGACCGAGCTAAGGGTTCAGCCTTGGCCTATTCCCCACTCCGAAGTGAGGAAGGCCATGGACGAGGCCCAAGCTCCTTTCCTTACTCCAATGTGGGCCAAGCTAACACACCCGCGAATAACGGAACCACCTAACAGAGAGCAGGAGTGACTTAGCATAACGATTGAGTGTCAAGTGGTAGAGAGAAGAGCTTGGTGAGCAAGTTAAGCATTCCCTATAAAAGGTAACCTCACTCTCCTCTGCAAGGGATCGATCTCTTTTCACTCTATACACTCTTCTCTACCTTCTCTTTACCAAACTTCAGTATTGACTTGACCATCAGAGGGATTTTCGACCAACCCTCAGTCGGGCAACCTAGCCATTTGTTCCTTGTGCAAGCCTACACCCATTAGTGCACCAAGGTTCGTCTACAAAGCTCCATCACTCTCCATTATGGAAACCAGTCTGCACAATACAAATCTGCAAGAAAGAAAGAAAAAAAAAATTGTCTTTTCATTTTGTCGCCACTCCTCTTCCATGTACTACATCTATAAAGGGCAAATTCAAACTCAAACAAATTAGAAAATTGTTGGCATGAATGATCATCTATAGAGCATGAAAGAGATTTTCTCTTCTAAACTTTTTTCCACAAGAAGTAATCATGTTGCATTCATAAGTATAGTTGTCAAAAATTGTGAACTACCGAAATTAAAATCGACTTGGATCACATTAAAAATCATAGCAGAAGTAGAATTGTAATAGGATCACAGGATTGTAGATCAGAGTCATTACAATCCTACACTTCAAACTGTTTTTGTGATTTTTTTTTTTCCCTTCTTTCCATTTGTCCCAAAGTGTTACTTTTCTAGCTCAAATAACAATAACTTATAAAACTCACAAATCAATATACGCCGTGAATCACAATTGGAACAAAATCCTACATAATTGAGAAGGTGATTTGCATTAGGTGCTCCAACAAGGTGTCTTCTATATTTTGAAATGTATGACTTTGATCCTTGTCACCTTGCTTACAATTATTTTCATTTCAAGTTTTCGTTATTTGACTTGATATGTTTCAGAGTAATTTGATTCCATCTTAAGCCTTCCTCCTCTTATTATGATCAGGAAAGTTACCGTTCTAGCCTCTAGGGTACTGTTCATTGCACCCAGAACAGGCCCTAGCAGTGCCAAAAATCCCATCTTTCATGCTTATACCCTTTCCCCTTTATTACTCCAAACAAACTCATAAAAACTCTACGTATACCACCTTTTCAGCCGCAAAAATAAATTCAAAATCCTATGTTTCGGTACTGTTCATAGCATCCAGAACAGCCCCTAGCAGTGCCAAAAATCCCACCCTTCATGCTGAAGCCCTTTCCCCTTTATTACTCCAAGCAAACTCATAAAAACTCTCCGCAGACCACCTTTTCAGCCACAAAACTAAACTCCAAAGCCTACTTTTCTACAACATTTAGTTTTGGGTTCACTACTTGTATTCTACAATATAGGATCTTTTTTCTTTTTTCTATTTTAATGAAATTCTCACAATTGTTCCAATTTTCACAACATATTCATTAAAATCTTCTATTTACTATGCTTTTCAACCCTCAAATACAGTGACTATTATTAAACAAATCACTCAATAAACAAATAAGTAAGACTAAATCTACTTTCCAAAATAAAAAGAGTAAAACTAAACAAGACAACTCGGTTTTATTGGACCTGCAAAAAAATCTGAAGTTGTCTCTTCAAACAAAAAATGTCAAAAGTAAGTAGCCCTACAAAATGCAGAATGTTTCCACCAGCAAGAACAGTTTTTTTTTTTTGTTAATTAAACCCCTGGATCAATGACAAACCAGCAAGCACCCTTCCCAGCATAGTCCATATACACACATGCACACAGTCACATTGCAATGATGTATGCCCAGATATACAATTGCATACTTCGATGTATGTGACAATACCAAGTGGTGCTTTCACATCAATTTTAGTAAGAAGCAGAAATCATAATGGCCATAAGCTATAAATGAGATCATTCATTCAACAAAATTTAATCTAGGCAGGACTGCATGGTGACTAAGGCAGAATTAAACCAAAGAATGGATGATAACAACCTAAGCCATAGAACAGCAACTGTGCCTTATATACATGATGCCTGAATGTGTTTCACTGACCTAGTATCTATATATATGAAAACTTGTACTTTGAAATACTTTTTAGACAGACATTTCAAGATGAAAGGTGAAATTCCAATTCATTAGATAATGGAACACAGAATGCACAATGGCCTAAAGGAACACTTAAAGATCTTTCCAAACGTTAAAATCAGAACTAGAGTTACTATAATCAATTATTCTGTCTTGGCACCCGATGAAGAATGTACTCTGCTGAGGATCCACATTTATTAAAGCATGTGCCGTTCCATGAGGGCTGGTTGCCACAGCGACCTCATCAGCTCCAATAGTTACCTCAGCATAACCTCTATCGATAGCATGATTCTCCAGCTGCAGATAATTAGTACGTTAAGACTGATGACTTGGTACAAAAGAATATCAGACAATGTAAGATGTAAGATGCAAGATATCTTCATTTAAATGTTCATATCCACGCTTTTTTTTTTTATTATTATTTATTATTTATTTGAATGTTCTATTTTAGCCCCATGACATAGGATGGGGTATTTTAGCCTCTTAGTTGGGCCTGTAAATTCAAGAGAAATAGATAGCAATGTTTACAACAAAAGGGAAGTTAGCATCCAAAAAACATCATATAGAATTAATTTTTGCTCTCCATCTGGTTCTTAGGAGGACTGGAATCTGGAGAAAGATGTTGACTTAAGCTTTTGTTCCTTTCTCTCACTCTTTTTGATAATCAAAAGGGTTATAATAACAGGCCTCTCTTGTTGCAATAGAAATCAAATCACTTTCCAAGAAGAAATCTACTAAACTTCCATCTTATACTGCATACTACCAAATAAATAATTAATTAATTAATTAAAAGAAAAAGAAAAAGAAAAGCATTACATAACAACATTTGTACTTGAGAAGGGAACTGGAAGCATACCCTAAATATTGTTTTAGCCCCCCAAATGACAAACGTCTCATTACAGGTATAGTGTCTGTGGTTTCCCCTCAAACTACCAGGTCGAATTTCTCCAAGGTGAAGTGAAGCACAATTCACAGCTCCCCCTGTAACAAAAAACAAACTCATCGATGTTGAATATACATATAGGTCATGTTCGGATGCAGGAATGGATAGGCGGAATGAGCATCTCATTCCAACTCTCTTACAATCTATTGTTTGGATGCATCCAAGAATGCGAATGTGATGCCTAATTCGGTTCGGTTCCTAAGGTAAAATGAGAAACCACACCAGTGGGAATCTCAATTCCTAGAGGAATATGACTCATTTCAGAATAAAGGTACATTTTGAATTGGGTGATTTGGTGATAAGATGATAAGAAATGAAGAGAAATAAAACTATTTCTCATGTTTGGCTTATAAATTAGGTGAGAAATTGTGACCCAGAAAGAAAAAAATCCCATATTTTTCGTACTTCATTTCTCACCAAAAGTTGTGAGCTTTGGTGAGAAAAAAACCGATTGATTACAAAATTTTCATAATACTGAGATTATTCTTCAAATTTAACATACAAAAATCACTCATATCGGTCTTTCACATGCTCTGCTTTCTTACCCATCTCTTTTTATCTCACCAAGATAAGAAACCACAATTATTTCCTTTCCTTTCTCACTTGTTATACCAAATAAAATAAATAGATGAACTCATAAAATTTAAAATTCTATCAATTTCAAACCAAATCAAATACACATTCACACATGAATATTATTGACAGTAATAGGATTCCAGCTCATAGAATTCTCATTCCTGACCAGCAAGAACAGTTCATCAATATAGATATATATATATATATATATATCAAGGGGACTTTGAGGGGGAGAGAGAGAGAGAGAGAGAGAGAGAGAAACCTGAAATGGCAGCATTGCGGGCAACAGAGATGGGATCAAGCAACCATCCACGGTTGTCTTTGGTGATGCGAGAAGGATATGCAGATGAGAACCTGAGGAGATTGACCTTGTGATCGTCGTCATCGACTCTGTCTCTGCTCCATTGGCGAGGGTGAGTGAGATGTGGAGGGGATGAGAAATGAGCAGAGTGTTGGAGTCTGAGAGAGACCCAAGTGAGGAGGAGGAACAAAGAGAGAAGGAATGGGAAAGCATGGGGCTTCTTCAAGAATAATTTCAATGAAGATAGTGTTGTTAGGGTTTGAACCTGAGATGATGATGAAGATGGATTGTTGTTGGTGTCTGAGGTCTGATTGTTTGAAAAAACTGAATATGAGTTCCTTCTAGGGTTTGCCATTACCGTTTTTGTCACATCCATACACTGTTCATCTCTCTCTCTCTCTCTCTCTCTCTCTTGGTGTGTGATTTTGGTCTCTTGCTAATTACGCATTTACGATTTAGGTTGTTTGGATGGTGTGATTTCTAAGGAAAAAATAAAAGAAACGCATCTTATTTATTTGGTTGGATTAGTAAAGGTTCTAAATGAATTACTTGGTTGTAAAGGTTCTAAATGTTGAGGGACCTTAGACATCATGAAAATAGTTGATGTCCTTTATACTATAAAATCATAATATCAGGGACCTTAAAAAAAATACCCTTTTTTTTAATTATTTAATTATGATATTATTTTAGTTATAATTCATGAGTTTTTTAGTTATATTTAGGCCCAAACGGGAATAGACTTTTTTGGTAACTTTTTAATTTTTTGACTAAAATATTAGGTAAAAAATTTAGTATATTTTGGATGATTTTTTGATTTTTTACAAAAAGATGTGTAAAAAATAGAAATAAAAGGGAATCATTGACTTTTTAGTATAGATTATTGACTTTTTAATTTTTTTAATTACTTTTTTGACTTTTAAGCTAAAAAGTATTGTTGCCAAATGAGGCTAGAGTTATGATTTTTTTTTTTTTATAATTATGATTCAAAAAATATAAAATTATGTCATTTTCTTTTTTAATTATAATATCTATATAGTACAAAAATATGTACCTTTACCATAGTGTTTTCTAACAAATATATATATATATATATATATTAATTACAAAATAGTGAAGAAATTTATGAAATTATTAAATTACCCTAATATCTTCGCTCATCATTTCTCTCATTTTTTTCCCTCCATATAATCCCTAACTGTTGTCAACCATCACTCTTGGCGCTAACCAACATCACCCACAACCTTTCCAGCCCCAACCAACCCTATCACGACCTTGTTAGAGCCACCAACCTCACTTCTACCTTATTTGACACTTTGCAAACTCTTCGCACCTTAACACCCATCTTACATCTTCATCTGCTAACCTATCATCTCTTACACATCATGTGGTCATTTCAACCCTTGTATCAGCCTCTTAGATCAAGTTTGGCAAGTTGTCAAAAAGTCAAAAAGTTATTCAAAAAGTTAAAAAGTTATCACTATTCACCAAAAGTCAAAAATTACGGTTACACAACTTCTAAACCTAATTTTTCTCTACACGCTAATTTATACAATTTTTTAATACACATTTTTTCATAAAAAGTCAAAAAATTAATCCAAACATCCATATTTTTTTTCTTAATTTTTTAATCCAAAAAGACAAAAAGTACACTTATTTAACAACCCCTTAGTCTCTACCCATCTTTTGTCTTCCTCTGTCTTACTTCCCTACATGATCTCAAATGTCTCAAACAAAACCTTAGGACAGAGAGAGAGAGAGGGCCAAATCGCAACCTCAGCAAGCAAATCGCAACCTAATCTTGCCCTAACCATGAACCAAAATGTCTCTCTCTCTTTTTAGGGTTTGATTTGGAAGGAGGGTTGAGATTTGATAGAGTAGCAAAAGGTAGGCGTATGAGTAAGGGTGAGGGTTGGGGAGGTAGGAATGAGTAGAAAAAGGGTCGTCGACGATTAGTTAGATTGGAGGGATAGTAGTGATGTATGAGAAGGAGTTGGCAAAGGAGACGGAAGGTAGGGTAGAAGTTGTGATACTGGGGAAAATCTTGCCCTAACCATGAACCAAAATGTCTCTCTCTCTTTTTAGGGTTTGATTTGGAAGGAGGGTTGAGATTTGATAGAGTAGCAAAAGGTGGGCGTATGAGTAAGGGTGAGGGTTGGGGAGGTAGGAATGAGTAGAAAAAGGGTCGTCAACGATTAGTTAGATTGGAGGGATGGTAGTGATGTATGAGAAGGAGTTGGCAAAGGAGACGGAAGGTAGGGTAGAAGTTGTGATACTGGAAAAAAAAAACAAAAAAAAAGGAAGAGAACTAGCTGGTGACGAGTGATGGCCACTGGAGTTACAAAGGAAAAGAATGAAGAAGATGAAGAAAGGGCATTTTGGACTACTAAAGTCATAATATCGTAAGGAAAGTCATTTTGGTCTAGTAAAGTCATTGTTTCATGTTTCTGCAAATATTCTTTTTGCTTTCATTTCCTTGTCTTTATGAAAAACATGCCACTAATATGCAAAATCTTTTTGTCCTTTCCACTTTTTTTTGGTGCTATTTCTTCAAAATTTGTTTTGATAATATAATATGACATAATTTTATTTTACTTTTTTTATATAATTTAATCAAATAGGATGGGAGAGTTCCACTTATTTATCCAAACAAGGATGAAACAAAACACAATTTTTTCTCTTTTTGTTTTTTTTTTTTCCTTCTTAATTTAATCAATTTTCTTTTCTTTTCTTTTCTCATGAGCGGTGCTTCTATTATTCTATTTAAAGAGCACTTTTAGAGTCTTATGTGGCATTATTTATATGTTATTTTAGACCAGTAAGAAATTACAAAACACATTATCTTCTAACTGCCTAACAAAAGTAAAATAACATGTTGCACTTATAAATTTATGCTACAAAATTGATTTGGAGCATCTTGTATGTAATGTCATATGATATTGTAAGAAGTACTGAATAATTACTCAATAATATCATAATAAACATATTTACCATCTTATGTATTAACATTAAATTTATAACAAACATAAGTTGTGATATCCATTAAACTAATATAGTATTGATACTTAAAACGATAAATAAATTATGTGAAGAAAATATGATTATTATAATATTATTATTTAAACTTTCATGATATCAAAAACATCCTTCTGACTTTTTTAATAGGGTGGGCAATAGAACTAGTTTGTTTGGCCAAAACTCATATACCTTACTACAAAGAGTTCAAAGTTTCTTACATGGCTGTAAGTCTTGTTTTCCGATATATTTATTGTGGTTTCTGTCTTATATTTTACAAGTTTCTTTATATTAGCTATGTATTATAAATATTTGTTACTATAATTATATCTCGTTGAGTTTTATTATAATATAAAGGGAAAATAACACGGACCTTATTTTTAGTAAAGCTAAATGAATAAAAACTAATGTAAATTATGCAATAACAAAAAGATAAACAACCTGAAGTGTACATTTTTATATAAAAAAGATAATAACATTATTATTTTTATCTATATAAATAATACATTATTGATGAAAAGAGCTTAGTGTTATATGAATTAAAATTTTAAGGGAGCTCAATATAATTATATCAAAACTATGAGATTTACTGTATTTTTTTTAAATCTTAAGGGAGGTCAATATAATTTACCCTAATATAAAATAAAAATAAAGAGAGTAGGGTGTATATTTCTTTCTATAATTTATTTGGAGATATACCTATTGTGTGGTTGAGATTTACTGGCAAGTCACATCAGAAAAATTGATGTAACTTGCCAGTAAATCTCAACCATACACTGTAACACTTTAGGAAACTTTAGGGAAAAATCACTCTAGAGGATCCTTGCTCATATCTATTGTGGTTTCTCTCTTATATTTTACAAGTTTCTTTATATTAGTTATGTATTATAAATATTTGTTACTATAATTGTATCTCGTTGAGTTTTATTATAATATAAAGGGAAAATAACACGGACCTTATTTTTAGTAAAGCTAAATGAATAAAAACTAATGTAAATTATGCAATAACAAAAAGATAAACAACCTGAAGTGTACATTTTTATATAAAAAAGATAATAACATTATTATTTTTATCTATATAAATAATACATTATTGATGAAAAGAGCTTAGTGTTATATGAATTAAAATTTTAAGGGAGCTCAATATAATTATATCAAAACTATGAGATTTACTGTATTTTTTTTAAATCTTAAGGGAGGTCAATATAATTTACCCTAATATAAAATAAAAATAAAGAGAGTAGGGTGTATATTTCTTTCTATAATTTATTTGGATTAGTTACAATAAGACTCTTTCAATTATTAGTGGATATCACTTTACTCTCTTATTTATGAACTGGACATGTTAAAACCCTAACTACACTCCTTTTAGAGATAGTCTGAAAAGAGTGAAAATGATACAATTTGATAGTTGAAGATATCAAAATGTTGATTTGGGGTGGCACTGTTGTGCTCTTTTTGGGTCCATTTTAGGGCCCATTTTGATAATCTGAATGGTTTACCTTTTAGAATATATCAAGTAGAACATAGTTACAAAAAATGAAGTTGATCAGATATCGGTATCTCTTTTATTAAATCACATTTGTATCTACAAAAATGAATGGTAAGTGTAATTTGAAATATAAAATTAAATGCAAATGTTATTTGATGAAAGAGTTATCGATATCTAACTAATTTGATTTTTTATAAATATATTCTACTCATTATACTCTAAAAAGTGAACGATTCGATTATCTAAAATGAACCCAAAAAGGCACCCCATAGTAGTCGTTGCGCATATTCCCAACAGCTACTCGAAATTTTTAAAATATACAAATTCATAAATAAAGAAAATAAAATGATATTCACTGATAATTAAGGGTATTGGCATAATCAACCCAATTTATTTCGGTGTGTAGCCCACTATATATAAACTGTTTAGCCCACTAATAAATTTTCAAGGCATTTACATGTGTTTGACCTTTGTGGACACCAGATCTAAAACCCACAGCTTAGCCGCCCAATTCAACCTTTAGTAGGACTTAGAGTTAGAGGCTAGAGTTAATACTTAGCTCACATAAATTAATTAATTTGGGAAGTGGGTTAAAAGTAATTTCTTAGTTTTTAATTTATTTTGCATTATATTATTTTTCACATTTTTTACATATTTTTTTAAAAAAAAGGTTTAAAAAATCAAAAAATTAACTTTCAACTATCTTTCCAAAATAATCTTAAAATTTGAAACTCAAGTGATTAGTGAACAGTGGCAGTAACCGGTGAACAATGATGGTGGTAGTAATGGTGGCTTGTGACCATGGCCAATTTTGATATTTTTGGAGTCTAAAGTGAACTCATATGAGATGTTTTATACGTTTAAAAAGAAAAGGTTATAATTAAAAGATTATGTAATTTTTGTTTTTTAAATATTTGAGCATACTTATGAAAAGATTACTTTCATATATATAACTATT